CTCCCAAAAACGAGAGAGGGTCCTTTCCGGGGTTCTTCTGCCATTCCTTCTCCTTCGGGCTCAAACTTGGTTGTCCAGGCTGCAGCTCTTCCTCCTGACTCCCGGGGTCACTCCCACCTGCCGTTACCAGCAGGGAGGCCTTGTCCGTGCGCTGTGCTGCCGAGACGGCATCGGTGCTGTTCTGCCCCCCCCATTCCCAGAAAGATTCCCAGGAGGGTAATAGCGGATGGGGGACTTGAGGGCGGACTGAAAGAACTCGGCATCTTCAGTCTGGAGAAAAGGACTCAGAGAAGACACGATAGTCGGGGCCCATAAGAGGAAGCCACGGGAAAGGCGCTCAGGAACTCTTCCACGACCACAGGGAGTAGGACCAGAAATAATGGGTAAATTGCAGTTACCTGAGCTTCATTCAACCATGAGGAAAAACTTGCTGGGGGTAAAATGTGTTCAGTAGAAGAGCCTCCTCCAGGGTTGCGGGTCTTCATCTCTACCTCTCAAGGGTGGCTTAAGTGGCTCAGTGCAGAGGGTTAGCCCCCTGTTCGGCTGTGGAGCTACTGCCAAAAAAGGGCAGGACCACTTGAGCCCCAGCTGCATCTAGATTTCTAAGCTTGACACAATTACGTGTCCCTTGGCTTGGCGAGGCATTTCGCTGGCAACTTTCAAAGTTTCCCCTTTTGAAAGCTGTGGCATTTCCTGGCAACAAGGGCAGGGTCTGTTGACTGGTTGGTCTACAGCAGCAAAAAATCATTTGGTAGTGCCTTTTCCCACTGACAGATTTTATTGAAAGGCATACATTCACAAAAACTTCCACCTTTTAATGAAATGTGTTAGTCAGGAAGGGTGCTACTCGATCGCTCCTGATTTTTGGCACATCCCGGCAGTGCTGACTTGACTTGGGCTGTCAGCACATTTGGAAGGTGCCAGTTTGGGAAGGTATGGGCTGCTCTTTGTACCAGCTTCATGTACTTGGGTACCAACAAATCTTTACAAGTGTGTGTCTCCCTCTGTGGGTCTCTCTCTGTTGGAACAGCTGGGGGGCACAGGTAGATGGTGCCCTAAGAAAACGGTAAAAGAATGTCAAGGCACCCTCTGACATCTGACCTGTCGCAAAGTCTCCATTTGAAATGGCAGAATCACGTGAAGGCTGGCTTGCAACGGCCCCTGTGCCACCTCTTCTAAAAAATTACCCGTGGCACAAGTTCGACTTTCACCACACTCCAGCCTGGTTCGTTTGGAAATTGCCACAATGAGCACTTCTCTTGTGTCTCCTGCTCTTCACTTTGAGTGCTAAGGGTGAGGATGGAGTCATCTTTAAAAATAAGGCCCAGAGCACCCACGGGAGGCCGCCTAATTTACGGAAAGCGGCCTGCGATGGGTTGTCTGAGATGCGCAGCAAGCACGGTCCTACTCTCTCCCCTCCAAATTTTACTCCCCATCTGCTGGAATTGTGTGAGATGAAAGCCAAGGGCTTGTGGGACTTTATTCTAGTGAGATAAATATTTGCATAGGTAGTATCTAGTCCTCATTGAGCACTCCACCCTGTTACCGTTTTTGGTTACAGTGGGGGGCTTGCCTGGCAGGACGCTTCCCTTGCTGCCGTGGTAGGAAGAGGTCTTCGCCCCCACCCAGGCTGTCTGAGTTCTGCCCATGTGCAGAGAATGAATTTCACGTGCGGCGAGGCTTTTCTACTATAAAACAGGTCATAGCCTTTCCCTGATAACTTCCTGTTGGTGGAACTGAGGACGCTGGCAGAACATGTAAGATTTACTGGGTGGCCGAAAATAGCAAAGCTGGCCCAGGGTGAGCCTCACCCCAAACGGATTCCAAGCGGCAGCCGGAGCACGTGGGCTGAGGGTGCATAGTGGTACAGGAACTGTCTCCTGGGAACGGCGGGCTCTTTGGTTGCACGTCCTCTTGCCGAGGGGAGGCAGCTGCCAACAGGACGATTCTAGGGCTGGAGCTGCCTCGGTCACAGCTGAATACTGTCATGGTCCTGTCCTGGGAACGGGAACGGAAACAGCCGCTAAAGAAACCGCAAGCCGCACTCCCTTTGAATCTTAAATGTCTGTCCTGCGTTAGGGGAGGACTCCCGCTCTGCCCCCGCTGTGGTATAAGGAAACCTTTCCTAGCAGAGGAACGTGTGGAGTCCCCATTGCTGGGAATAGTCCACACGTCTGTCGGTAAGGGAGTCTGTTGAAAGGTCTGGCATGGAGGAGGGAAGAGGCGGCCTATTTCTGATAAATCTCTGGAGCTCTGGCAGCTCAGCTGGCGCTGCGCTCACAAATACTGTGCCTCTTTGACAGGTGGGCGTCCGAGGTGATGGCGCTAAATGCTGTGAGAACGTGGCCCCCTCCCTGAATCCTGGCTGTGAAGGCCGCAGGTCTGAATGCCAGGAAGCCGAAGCGTCCCAAGTGGGGGGTGTGGATTAGTCACCCTTCAGTGCCCTGGTCGCTCTCGCTCAATTGGAGCAAAGCCAGGGGTGCCAGAAGCCTTCCCTTTTTGGGGGGGTGGCGGTGCCCCAGAGCCACCCTTCCTTCCTGCACCGAGGTGGTCTGGCTGAGCTTTTGGCTCGGGTGTCTTACTGCTCCAGGGGCCTCCTGGAAAAGACCAGCCCTCCCCCAGTCAGCTTCATGTGGGCTTCCATCCTGAAAGCAGGCTGCCTGGTTCGTCTTCCGAGGAAAGGTGAGAGCGCGGAGCCTTCCGTTGCAAAGCTTATTAGCAAGGTCTGGCGGCTGTGGGTCCGCCTTGGGAGCCCGGATTGTCTGTCCGGCCAGTGGGACGCTATCAGACGACTCCTGATTGGTGCAGGAGGCTCTACAAGCACATTCGCTTAAGTGAATGGCCGGAGGAAGCAGGTGGGAGTTTGTCTTCCTACAGCAGTGGCTTTTGACCTGCTCCATGTGAGCTGGGACTGGGCTCATGTCTGTTGTGGGAACCCAACCTTGGTTCTCCTCGCAGGTTGAGTCAGAACTCTGAGCTCTTCCAGCCAGCAAATCTCAGACCCAGGCAATTGGGGGAAGACCCCGTTGCTAGCTGGTTGGGGGACTGGAGCTGCGCAAAGGGGATGTGCTCACCTAACTGCCGACTGGGTGAGGCGGGCAGATATCAGAGCCGCGATGTCATGATGTCCAGCCTCTAAGGCAATGGCCACAGCATCATTGCCATCCTGCAAGAAAGTTTCGGAAAAGCACAGGGGCTGTTGGACTGCAAGAAGCAGCTCTTTTTTGGCCCATGTCTCCAAAAAATCAGACGCAGTCTGGCCGCATCTTTTCCAACTCTCAGGTTTATTCAAGGCAGGAACAGACGCTTTTGTCAGTCACAGCTAAAGCCACTCCAGGGATCCGATGAAGGGGGCTGCAGCTCACAAAAGCTTCCGCCTCTTAATAACATTTGCGAATTGGGAAAGGTATTACCAGGCCCTTCCTGAATTTTTACTATTGCAGACCAGCCCAGCTTCCCTGCTGCCATGCCTCCAAAGAAGTTCAAGACAATTAGATCAGAATCCACGAAAGGCGAGCAAGTTGCTTAAAACAGAACCAAACACCCCGGAAATCGTTTGGGTTGCCTCTGACCCTCCAGCAGTTATTTTCTGTGAAAATGGTAAAAGTTTTAATTTTCCTGATTCTGCTCTTTAATATTTGAGTCTCAAATTTGGAAGGCCTAAAGTTTTAACCACTTTCAGGCGTTTGAGGTGATTTCCTTCCCACGTGGGGCTTGGCGAGGTGGGACACTGGGTTGGATCGCGGCCGTGGGGCCTCTGCTGCAGTGTTTTGCCAGCGGGCAGGACCGAAGCAGATTAAAGGGGGCTCTTGAAACAGCTGTGCGTTCATGTCGCCTGAGAGTTTGCTCTTGGAGTCGGGGCCTTAAATAGTACCATTTTGCTATTTGGCAGCATGGGGTGGCAGGCAAGGAGCGAACCAAAAGCTACAGCGAACTCCGTTCCCAGATCTTAAAGGGGGGAAAAACAGCAAAGGCGTCCTTTCGTAGGAGTTCGGCTTTGGAATTAATGCCAAAATTATTTTGGGGAGGGGAAAGCAGAAAAATGAGATGAATTAAACGTAGGAAACCTGCTTTTTATAAAAACGACCCATCAGGCACTTTTCCTGTCATGCAGCTTGTACTACGGTGCTTTTTTAAAAAAAATCACAAATGAAAATAGACCCTAAAGTGGTAGCTAAACTAGAAAGGGAACAGAAGGGCCCAAGATCTGTCACTCTCACAATGATTTGGAGGGCAAGGGAGGAAGACAACATTTACAGTATGGAGCTCGTGAGGTTTGGGTGAGCTTCATTTGAGTATATTGCAACACTGAGAACTAGACGCTTGACACGGGAGCCCAGCTAGAGGCAGCGTTTCTGGGACAGCAACTTACGTGATCCACGATGGATGTGTCGCAGGCTGGCTGGGTCAGAAGCAGCCGCACGGTTTCTGCTCGCCCGTGCTCGCAGGCGCACATGAGCGCAGTAGAGCCCTCCTCGTCCTGAAGGTTGACGTCTGCCCCGCAAGCGAGCAGGGCTTCCACCATCTCTTGCCTCCCGTGGCTGACTGCAAGCATCAGTGCTGTCTGGCCGGCCTGGAACCCCAGTGAGAAAGCATGGGTGGGCTTTGTTTTAAGAGAGTGCTTCTGGGCATGTCAGAAGCGCCCCGCTTGCTTTCTTCCCAATGAACCGCTGTCCTGCCCCAGAGGGAGGGGTGAACTGCGTCACCCCCAAGATACCTACTTGGCTGGCCTTGGCATTGACGCTGCCCATGTCGAAGAGGCGCCGGACCACGGACATGTCGTCTTTCTGCTCCATCGTTGCCAGCGCGGCCAACATGAGGGCCGTGTAGCCTGCTTTGTTCTGGTGGTCGACATTACAGACTCCTTGCAATGGGGGGAGAAACTGGTGGTGAGGGCACGAGGGAACACGAGCCACCGCCAACCCCGGGAGGCCTTTCTCGTCTCCAGTGACCCAATGGGTGGGCGCAAAGTTGAGGAAGGTGCAGAACGGCCCCCCCAGGGTGACCCCTCTGCCCCCCCCCCGCCCTGTGCAGCCCCAGGCTAAGACGGCGGGCCTCTCCTTGCTGGCCCTGTAAGGGCATTAATAGATTTAATGTCGTCTGCTCCATCCTTCGTGCGCTGCTCATCCATGTTATATCGGTTTTACTTTCAGTAAATTTATATTCTGATCTGTGAACTTCAGTGAATTGGGTTAGAAAAAAGACGTGTGAATAATATACAATACTGACTGGAAAAGTGGCAAACTTAGCCTGGAAGCTTCTAGGTGCAAAGCACATGACTCGTAGCTCAGATGGCTACGGTCCTAACAAAGCAAGTTTCCAGTCCTCGTGGTTTTCCAAAAAGCAAAAGCTGATTTGAACAGAATAGAAGTGTAGGAACCGGGCTTGGCTGTTCCCCAGATCTGCCACTAAGGTTCTCCTACCACTCCGAGAAAACAGGCACCGTTGCTGCCCTGCCCTGCCCTGGGCAGGACCCAGACAGAGGCCTAAGTGGTCTGCCCCCTCCTCCCCAGGCCCTGTGAGCCTGCCGGGGTCGCCTCGTCACCTGTGTCGAGCAGAAGCTGGACGATGTCGAAGTTGGAGTGCGAAACGCTGTAGTGGAGGGCCATGTTCCCGTTGCCGTCGGAGAGGTTGATGACGTGCGCCAGCAGCGCCGGGGAGAGTTCAGCAAAAGCCTGCAGGTGCTTCGCCACCTTGCTGGCTCGGGAGGCCTTCTGGCTGGACACTCGGAACCACTCCTGCAGGACCAGGCTGGTGCTGGAGAGCTAGAAACCGGAGTGGGGGTGAGAACGCGTCCCCGGCTCTCCCTTCGCCAGCCACCTCTTTTGCTTGGTTTCCAGGCTACGTTTGCAACTTTTCTGGTGCTCCCTCCATGCCTAGAGAGGGAACTTGGCGGAGGCCTCGTGGGTCAGAAAACCTCTGCAAGCCTGTGTCGGCCGGCCGAGTTTGAGGGCAAAGCAACGCTGGGATAACCAGTACAAATGGCCTTGGAAAGGGGGGGAAGCCGACGAGTTATTCATGTTATGTGCACGATGATGTTGTGGCCCACGTGAGGACCCCGAAGAAAGACTTGCGCTCTCCAAGCAGTCCTGTCTCCCATGCACCCAAAGGGCCGGCTCCTGCGGCTACTCACCAGCTCTTTGCTCTTTGCAGCCGCTCTGTCGTGGCCCAGATGGGTCCTCAGCACCAGGCAGGCCTCTCTCATCCGAGGACTCAGCTCAAACCTGCCGGGGAGGCCAGTCAGGGTCAGCGGCCAAGCGGCCCTTCAGGGGACGCAGGCAGACTCCATCCTGCACGGGTGGCAGCTGGCACCAAGGAAAGGGGCTGGGATCTCAAGGTGGGCTTGCAGAGCCAGGCAGTTTCCATTTGCAGCTTAAGGGCTCTGATTCGGGCGTGCGCATCCTCTGCCAGCGCGAGAGCTCCCTCCGAAAGCCCTTGAACGCAGCCTGCTCCTCTGGCTTTATGGGGGAGCAGCAGGGAGGGCCCCCTGGTTTTCTGATCTCCCTAAGCCAGGGTCTTCCCGTTCTGCTTTTTAGAGATGCTAAGGTTTCCCATGGGGATTTGCTAGACTATTAAATATCCAGAGTGAGACCTTCTCCAGGCAGCGGTTCAGACTGCACGGCCCCCAGGCAGCCCCCCTCTCATCCCGTCCATTTCCAGGTGAAAGAGACGCTCTTTAAAAGTTGGCCTCAAACATCATCCTCGTTCAGAGGATGGGAGAGCAGAAGCGCCTGGGGTGCAGACCCTTGCTGGGGAGGGGGGCTCCCCGGATGGGACCAGAGGCTGTTAGGAGTACCTGCGAGGGGCAAAGAGGGGCCCGCCTGCCCCTGGGAACCTCTTCCAGGCCTAACAAGGCTAAAGGTCTCCCTGGACCGGCTGTGAAACAGGCATCTGGATTTTAAGCGAGGCCAGCGTGATCCGTAAGTGGCTAAACTCAGAGCAGCCGGCCTGCGTCCCCATGTGAAGCAAGAGGGGTCGAAGAGCTGGAGCGTCTAGCTGGGCAGGTTCGCACCCAATTAGTACATGGATGGAACACCACAAGGAAACCCTGGGGGGTTGATTAGATTGGAAAGCCAAAAAAACATCCAGAAAGGAGGCAGTTGTAAAGCACTTCTTGGCCACCACCGACTCGGGTAAGTTCAGCTTGATTTGAGGGAGGTTTCGCCTGCATGTTCTCTCCGGGAGTGTCTGTGGTGTGTGTGCGCGGGTCAAAAAAATCAAAATGGCGGCTGCAGCTCTGTGACGCCATATTGGCTCCAGCAGACCCCCCTGGTTCTCCCTGATAACTTATTTATTTGAGGACTTTGCTAAGGCCGCCCAACCCATCATTCACAGTTTAGCCATCATTTATGACTTTTCATTTGTTCTTTTCGGTGTTCGGGATGCCGTTTTTCTGGGGCTGAGTTGATGCAATGGCAAAGCCAGGATGCCTTCACCTCCCTCCCCACAACCAACTGGCTGCCCTGATGTCCCCAGGTGCACCCCACAGCTTAGGGATGGTGGCAGTCGGCCTCCCGCAACCCGTTGAGCCAGAAGCAGAGAGGCTGCGCTTTGGGGAGTTGGAGGCGGGGAAGCTCCTGCTGCGTCGAAAGGGCTGCGCTGGGGAGGAAAGGGGGCGAGCGCTGCCATTCTGAGTCGTTAGCCCCGAGGGACGTTGTCTGGGCGGAGGGGGCTGGCTGCAACACGAAGCTTTATGGAGGGAGGTCGTTCGCCTCTTGGGCCGGGTCTACGATTTCAGCCTCAGTGGTGTCCCCTGCGCTTGGGTGCACCCATTTCACAGAGCAGGGGAACTGAGGCCAGAAGAACAACACGCCTACAGTTTGGGAGGGGGAGGACTGAAGCCACGCCTTCCCCATCAAGAATCCAGACCGCTCCCTGCAAGGAAGGTCCGAAACGGGTCTGGGGTCCTTCCCTGCGGAGGATGCTCTTACCTCTCCTTGACCTTGGGAGGAGCTGCTTCCTGGCTGGCGGCGGCTTTGGGATCCGTGCCCAGCCTCGGGTGGTCTGGCGCTGCCTCTGGGACCGGGGTCTCCTCGTCCTCCTCGCTGCTGTCGCTGACATCGGGGCTGGCAGCAACGTCGCCCTCCAAGTCACCAGAGCTGCTGACCGTCTCGCTGAAGGAGCTGTGGGGAGATCCCTCCCCTGGGGACCCCTCCTCCTCCTCCTCCTCCTCTTCTTCCTCCACCACTTCTTCTTCCTCCTCTTCCTCCTCCTCCTCACTAGAGGTGCTCTCATACCTGCCACGAGAGAAGGCGTCAGGGCAGGGCCAGGGTGCCAGTCCCCTTGAGTACCTGCCATGGCCCCAGACGTGACCCCAGGCCGGCAGCTGCCTTTCCAATCCATCCAAGTTCCCCAAGCCCATCTGTGTCCCCATCTTGTGCCCCCCTCACTTCCGTCGAGCCACACAAGCAGGGTGACTGCTTCTGACCAGGGAGGCTCCATTTAGCTCCCCAGTGACCACCTGGGCAGCTGTTTTCCTAGGACTGGTTCCACCTAGTCATGCCACCCTGGTGCCTCCAACTGCCAGCCAAAGGATCCAGGCTTGCATTCCGGATCTGGGTTCTGCAAGCAGCCTGCCAGCAGAAGGGCTGACGTTTGGGGGTAGACTGCCTCTGGTCATGGAGGCTAGAGCCAAGGGGGTAGGAGGCCCCACGGGATGAAATTCAGCTTCCAAGGAAGAGGGAGCCAAGTTCAGCGAGTGGGAGCATGAGCCATATTCCCCCCACAGGACACGCCGCGTGGGGCCATGCGGTCAGGCCTTCCGGCTCGGCTTTTTCTCCCGCCCGAGGAGAAGAAAGGTTCGTACTCGCCATTCAGGAGGCCCACAAACTGGAGGGTCTTCTTCCCACTGCCCCCCACCTCTGCCTTGGCCGGGTGGTCCAGCCGCTTCATGATGGACTTCAGGGCACCTGCACAGGAGAGGGGGCAGAAGGAGGAGGGGGGTTAGATGCTGCAGCCTCCGGAGCAGCGTTTCTCAACCTTGGCTGCTTTAAAAGGGGTGGACTTCAACTCCCAGAATTCCCCAGTTAGCATGGCTGGCTGAGGAATTCTGGGAGTTGAAGTCCACCCCTCTTAAAGTTCCAAGGTTAAGAAATGCTGCTCCGGAGGATGCAGAATGAGAGGGCTCTCCGAGATGAAGATGATCACAATCATGTTATTTTATTATTATTAGATTTATACCCTGCCTTTATTGCATACAGCTCAAGGCAGCGTACATAATGCTCCTGCCTCCTCTGTTCCCCACGACAACCCTGCGAGGTGGGTGGGGCTGAGAGAGGGCGACTGGCCCAAAGTCCCCTCAGCTGGCTTCCGTGCCTACGGCAGGACCAGAAGTCCCTGTCTCCTGGTTTCTAGTCCAGGATCGTCACCGTAACATGCTCGCCATGTTTCTGGGAAACTGAGGGCAGGCAGCTGGGGTGCGTGGGCCCCTCTCCCCATAGAAGACACCATTCCAACTCTGCCTCCCCCCCAGTTTATTCTGGAGGCAGTAAAGACAGAGGGGGGCAGTTCTTGGAGGGTAGAGAGGCCTGGGGACCCAAGTTTGTCCCAAAGGCCACCCTGGACTCTCCTTTCATGGAGCGAAGGGGGAGGGGGGAGGCTCTCCGCCCCCCCCACTCAAATACCAGCAGCCAGGTACTGCCTTTGCATGATGCGCCAAGCTGGGCCCCCTTTAACTAGGTTCCAGACAGCGCCGGGGTGCTTTGGTTCGGACTCCATGGCCCAAACGACCCCTTCCGTCTCTGGGATTCTGCAGCTGCGGACCCAGGGGCCCACCCAGGTGTCCCCAGATGTGGGCCTGCGGGAGATCCAGGGTGGCCCTCCCAAGGGCAGCGGGGATCCCGCAAGGGTCGCCTCTGCTTGTTACGGATCAGCTGATCCTGCAGCTCGCACCAAGACTGGTGCTTCAGAGGGGCCAAAGTGGAAACTCCCCGGGGACCTGACCCCAGAGGCCACACCAGACACCCTTGAACTGTCTTGCCTCCCCCCACCCTGACCAAGCCCTGCTGGAGGAAGCTGGGTGGTGCCGAAGTGCTGAACTGCACCAGGCGCTGTTTCTGTCATGCCAGAAGCTGGTGGAAGGAGCTGTGGCCCTCATGGAAGGGGCCCGAGCTACGCTAGGAGGCCTGCCCTTCTCCTGAGCCCAGGGGAGGGGAGGGGAGGCGGGGTCTCTGTGGGGAGGAAAGCTTCCGCGCATTTTCAGGGGCACCGAGAGAGGTCTACAAGCTCCGCTGTGAAAGCGCAAGTCTTAAGCGAGCCTCAGTTCATGTGGGGTGGGAGGGGGGCCTCTGAGCTTGGAGGGCCCCACTGGGACTGGCTCGCGTGGCAGGCGGCACTCACCAGCCCCCGAGACCCCCTCCACCCCGTTGGGCTCGTGGCTTCCCTTCCCGCCCGCTGCCAGGAGCAAAGGCGGCCCCGGACCCGGTTCTCCCTCTGTCTGCAACGGCAGCTGGACTGCCCTCCCGTCCTCGCTGCCTGTCGGCTTCCTGGGCTTGGCCTCCTCTTCGGATCCGGACCCGGACCCCTCCACAGCCATGGGTTCAGGGTGCCGGGTCTGGCCTTTGGGTTCGGCCCCCGGCGGGGTCTGTGCAGCTTTCCGTGGCGAGTCTGTTGCGGGGTCTGCTTCTGTACAATCGTTCCCTTGCAAGTTGCAGCCAATTCCCACGTGCGCTACTGGCAGGGAGCCTTGGGCGCTCGCCTCCACCATTTCGATGTGGCTGCCCACAGCCTGGCTCCGGGTGGGCGGGATGGCCTCCACGCAGGCTTCGACCGTCTCTGGACAGGCGAGGGTCGCCTGGCTGACCAGGCCGCCTGGCCTGCGGGAACAGACCTCCACCCTCAGCTCCTCTAGTTCCTCCGTGGCCTCTCTCAGGTGCCCCTCCAGCATGGCAATCACTTCGCGCTGATGCTGGACCGCGAGCTGCAGCATCTGCACCTCCTCCTCCGCCTCCGACGACACCCCAAGGAAGGACTCCATGACCCACACCTCGGCGTCGCAGGTCTCCGTCTCGCGCCCCACCGCCACTTCTCGGCATGGCCTCTGGCTCCGGTAGTAGAAGACGGCTTCGCTCATGTCCACCTCCTCCCCGACGGCAATGGACCTCCAGCCGGGCTCCTCTGCTTTCGAGGGGTGGGCCCCTCCTCTGCCCTTCCCAGCCCTCTCCACACCGGACAGCCTCTCGGTCAGTTTCTTCAGCTCCGCAATCTTGCTCGGCCTCCCTTTCGTCGGCTCGCCGTCGCTCTCGCTGTGGGCCTCCTGGTTGCCCTGGGACCCCCCTGCACCCGGACAGGCAGCCCCACCCTTGGGAGGCCTCGGGGGGAAGCGAAAGACCCCGGGCTCGCTGGCTTCAGGCTCCAGCCTCGCCCCCAAGCCAGCCGCCAGCTGCTCCTTCTCCTGCTTCAGCTGGCAGATCTCCTCTTCCAGGAGCGGGATCACCTTCACCTGCTCCTCCAGCTCCTTCAGCTGCTTGAGGGCAGTGGCCATCTGCTCCCGGATGTGCTGGAGGTGTGCGGGGCTCACGGAAGGGACTGGGGTGCTCCTTCCTGAATGAGGCGGGCTCGTCTTTGCGAGGTCAGCCTGGCTTTCCCCCGCCAGAGGGGAAGCAGAGCCGGGGGGACGCCCGCCCCCGTCCTGGGAGGCGCTGGCCGTCCTCTTGAGCCCCGCAGCCCCCCCACCGGTCAGCAGGCTGCGCTGCGCCTCCTCCAGCCGCCTGCTGGTCTCCAGCAAGGTCGTCTCCACCCTGCGGCCTCTGGACACAGAGTCGGGGGAAGGCGGGGGGAGAAGCTGGACAGCAGGCGAGGGAGACGCGGGGAGCGAGTCTCCTTTGCCCGTGGGCTCCTTGGCTTCGGGGGAGAAGTTGGGGGTCCCGTCCTCGCAGGTCGTGGATGAAAGGGACTCAGTGGAGGCCCAGCCCCCCGTCTGGCC